GGGCGGTCTTAGGAGATCGGCTAGAACTGTACAGTACTAGACGAAAATGTTTAGCAATTTCTTAAAACAAAAATGTATATAAATTTACAATAGACAACAAAGCAAAAGTTTTATAGGTGTGTAGAACGTTAAGTTAATTCACTTGTTATTATTTTTGGCTAAGTATGCTTTTAAATAAAGCGTATTCTTAAATTTTAAAGAGGCAGTTTAAATAATTTTGCAAATGGTACTGTACACTTTTGTCTAGTTCTCGCTCGATGATCGATGGAGAAATGAGCTCCGGAGACAAATATGATTGAATTTGGAATAATGCTACGGCGCATCCTAATAAAGGGAAGGGGCATATTTCCATCTTCTTGAAACGAACAGTAAGCAGTATCGGTTTGAATTCGCCAGAAATCGATACTAAATCTGTGCCAAAGTGCCCCATGGGTTACCTACTTGAGCATGCTATGCTTTTCTCGGCAGGTCATTACGAAGTACATTATTTTGCGATCGACTTAATTCAACCTGTTGAAGTTTAGTATCAGAGGATACCGTCTAGTGATAGCTAATCGTCAGTCATACATCGTCGTAGAATGAAAAAGTATACTCGACATCAGCAGGAGGTACTAGATGTACGACACGTCAAATTAACATGGTTATAACTCTTTGGTTGTTGTGACAATTGACAGAACACGCGAAATGTGTATTGTTGTGGTTTCCTAATTTACGGTGATTTATGATTGTAGGCGTGACTTATGCTGCTATATATATTTCGTAATATTGCTACCAACATTCGTCCCTGAGTTACAACAACTTACGGAACAAATAGAAGTAATAGAGAAGCAGCTTAACCATATTAAGAGATCCATTCGTTGTGCATGTTTTCCCAGTTTCTAGTTACTATCTAATTGAGACAGAATGGCAACGTCGGAAACGAATCAGTTCATGGAAGTCAATAATTTGAACCTCTCTGGTGGCCTTCTCAACTTGCGAAGTGGTTAATCCACTTAGGGAAGAGAGTGTTGTGTTCAACTGCTTAATAACGTATCCCGCAACTCATAATTGGCAGGACATCGCTATGGATGATGAAGTTTATCGGTTTCTCGAAAGCACTCACTATCTCAGATAGGTTATCACAAAAAGCATTTCATTAAAAGAATCGCAAGAGTATTTCACCCTTAATCGCCTTTTGTCATTGAGGGATAATGTAGAAGGTAACGATGACGTCCGTTTCAGCCTCGAAACTGTCCGCTTATTGCGATTGTAAGCTAATTTATCAACAAAACAGGAAACTTCTTTGCATATATGAGTGAGTTGCTAGAATAAATTAAGGCAAGGTATACACCTCGGTCCAATTTTGTTAAAACGTTTGTCATATTCTATTTAGCTTTCTATTTTATTTTGTGCGCAATTACCAACAAATCCTTGTATTGTGAATAGTCCACTGTAGAATTTTTTTTTGCTGAATAGTACTCATTCTATTAAGCATTGTATGGAAACTAGTTAATTTTGTATTAATGTTAACGGAAATGTATGAAATCCGTCATTGTATACAATTTATAGGAAATGTATATAATTCCTAAAATCGCCCGCAAATGTGTGAAATAAATTATATTAGACACATTTCCTAGGAAATCTATACATTTCTTAAATAGCAATCGGAAATTTATTACAAGTAATACTAAATATAGGCAATAATGCGGCAGGCTGTTTGAAGATGTACCTGTATCCATTGGTGACGACATTGTTTGGATAGAGACATTTATGACAGACTGAAGTTTATTTAATGTCCCTACCTGATATGTTAGATGTTAGAATAATGTGACGAGGTTATCTTTGTTTCAGCAAATACGATGACTTTGAATTTTTAATATATATCATATATTATCATAATGAACCATACTTTTCGAAAACACTGTCCCAACATATCAGCCTGCCTCCGGCGGAAAAGGCGTAGAAAAAACTCCAGTCTGTCATAAACCTACCTAATAACCATACAATAACGTCATTAATGCATCTACATCTCCAAACCTAACCTAACCAAACAATAACGTCATCAACGCATATATTTCAGGCGATCGCACTAGAACCGCGTAAACACAGATAACTCAGATTCTCAGTTTACTAACGTGTTTTATATATTAGATTCACAGAAAGCGTTACTTTTATACATTTTCTATTACAATGTCGGAATTTATTTAATATGTGTGTATTAAAAAATCTTTGAAACAATATTTTATAAATTCCCTAAATAGCTTCGGAATTGTATACAATTCCTAGATTTCATACATTTCTGGTAATACTCATACAGTGATTAGAGTCCACAACAGTAATAATGTTAGTGTACCTACACCTTTTTCTTAAGATATCAAAAATAGAATTTTTACAGTGGTTCGCTTTCACGGCCGGTGTCTAATTGATGATGAAGAGTTTCTGGGCTTTTCTGCCGTGGTATAATTCTGACTGCAATCAGCGGTTTAGTTAATAGCATGCATCCAGTTCGGTTCCTATCCTACCCTCGTCTAAGCTTTTCTGTGATTACCTTCGCCCATTTAGGCTAATACTGCAGCTGTAGTATTCTGTAGATAATCTTTCACTTATCGTCTGTACTCATATCTAAATATGAAGATTGGAAAAACTTTGGCGGTTGTTGTAGAACAAACAGAATAGCTCAAAACCCCAAAACAAAACATTTTGTTTGTTCTGTACTCATATCGTCTGTATCATCTATATTTCTCTTCTATTTTTGTCTATTCCAAAAAATGGATCAAAGAATCTGTCAAATTTTGTGTAAAAAACAAAATTAAGTGCGCGGATATATTCCGAATGTTGATTGTGGCATCTGGTGAAGCCACCTTGGACTGAAACAACGTTTATCGGTGGTACAATATGTTCTCAGAGAGCCGAGAAGATGTGAACGACGAATAGCATGCCGGACGCCCGAGCACATTAACAACAGACAAAAACATTGATGAAGTGAAGAAAATAGTATTGAACAATCGTCGAGTCACCGTTAGAGAAGTTGTTTAGGATCTGATCATATCGATTGGCTCCTACCATTCAATTGTTACCAAATTGCTGAATTTCGACCAAAAACGGTATCGTATTAACATTAGTAAGAAGTTGTTGGACTCTGTTCGCGACGACCCAAACTTGCTCGGTAGGATCATAACTGGTGACGAATCATGGATTTATGGTTGTGACGTGGAAAGCGAAGTACAATCCTCCAAATGGAATCTGCCATAAGAGCTAAGACGGAAAAAAGTACGCCAAATTAGGTCGAGTGTGAAGGTTTTGCTTATGGTTTTCTTCGATTGCAGGGACGGGGTGCATCATGAGTTCTTGTTACAGGGTAGAATGGTCAATAAGGAATATTACGTGCAAGTTATGAGCAATTTGCGAGAAGTAATTCGCCAGAAACGCCTGGATTTCTTGAAGAACAAAAATTCGGTTTTGCATTATGATAACGCCTCTGCTTACACGTCGTTGCTTGTGCACGAATTTTTGGCCGAAAACAACACACTAATAATGCCGCAACCACCGAATTCCTCAGATCTGGCCACCTGTGACTTTTTCTTGTTCCTCAAACTGAAGAACCCTATGAAAGGAAGACGCTACGCTACGATTAAGGATATAAAGACAGCATCGAAGGAGGAACTGAACAAGATCACAAGAAAAATGTCTTTTTGAAGTGCTTCGAGGATTGAAAGAAAATGCTGGCACTAGTGTATATCTAGGGGGGATTACATTGAAGGGGACAAAATATGTATTCATGAAAAAACACAAAATTCGTGATAGTTTTTAAATAGACCTCGTAAGTAGATGATGAAAGTACCTACTTCGACGTTCATTCCACAATGTTCCAACATCAATTGAAAATTGAAATTGAATAGCAAATAAGCATTGGCTTCTTCAAATCGTTTTTAATGAAGAGGCGTTCACGTTGTCCGTCCATGCTTATACTTGAAATCCTATGACATTGTTAGTTACTTAATAGTCAGAACATTGGTGCGTAAAGCCAAAGGTCCCGGGTTCGATTCCCGGCGGGGGTGTGACAACAGCAACAATTTTTCCCTCATTAATTTGAGGTAGCGTGTAGTGGGTAAAAAATTCAGAAATGAATTTTCAGAATAATATTTCATATTAAACTAACTCACTTCTAAAAGATATCTAAATTATATGTATGTTTAATCATAGTATATTCAGTATATAGTTACATTAGTTCGACGGATCGTTAACCTTGTAGGTCGGTTGGTCGTGGTTGTTGTTGTCACCTCTCGTAGTTTAGTGGTCAGAACATTGGTGCGTAAAGCCAAAGGTCCCGGGTTCGATTCCCGGCGGGGGTGTGACAACAGCAACAATTTTTCCCTCATTAATTTGAGGTAGCGTGTAGTGGGTAAAAAATTCAGAAATGAATTTTCAGAATAATATTTCATATTAAACTAACTCACTTCTAAAAGATATCTAAATTATATGTATGTTTAATCATAGTATATTCAGTATATAGTTACATTAGTTCGACGGATCGTTAACCTTGTAGGTCGGTTGGTCGTGGTTGTTGTTGTCACCTCTCGTAGTTTAGTGGTCAGAACATTGGTGCGTAAAGCCAAAGGTCCCGGGTTCGATTCCCGGCGGGGGTGTGACAACAGCAACAATTTTTCCCTCATTAATTTGAGGTAGCGTGTAGTGGGTAAAAAATTCAGAAATGAATTTTCAGAATAATATTTCATATTAAACTAACTCACTTCTAAAAGATATCTAAATTATATGTATGTTTAATCATAGTATATTCAGTATATAGTTACATTAGTTCGACGGATCGTTAACCTTGTAGGTCGGTTGGTCGTGGTTGTTGTTGTCACCTCTCGTAGTTTAGTGGTCAGAACATTGGTGCGTAAAGCCAAAGGTCCCGGGTTCGATTCCCGGCGGGGGTGTGACAACAGCAACAATTTTTCCCTCATTAATTTGAGGTAGCGTGTAGTGGGTAAAAAATTCAGAAATGAATTTTCAGAATAATATTTCATATTAAACTAACTCACTTCTAAAAGATATCTAAATTATATGTATGTTTAATCATAGTATATTCAGTATATAGTTACATTAGTTCGACGGATCGTTAACCTTGTAGGTCGGTTGGTCGTGGTTGTTGTTGTCACCTCTCGTAGTTTAGTGGTCAGAACATTGGTGCGTAAAGCCAAAGGTCCCGGGTTCGATTCCCGGCGGGGGTGTGACAACAGCAACAATTTTTCCCTCATTAATTTGAGGTAGCGTGTAGTGGGTAAAAAATTCAGAAATGAATTTTCAGAATAATATTTCATATTAAACTAACTCACTTCTAAAAGATATCTAAATTATATGTATGTTTAATCATAGTATATTCAGTATATAGTTACATTAGTTCGACGGATCGTTAACCTTGTAGGTCGGTTGGTCGTGGTTGTTGTTGTCACCTCTCGTAGTTTAGTGGTCAGAACATTGGTGCGTAAAGCCAAAGGTCCCGGGTTCGATTCCCGGCGGGGGTGTGACAACAGCAACAATTTTTCCCTCATTAATTTGAGGTAGCGTGTAGTGGGTAAAAAATTCAGAAATGAATTTTCAGAATAATATTTCATATTAAACTAACTCACTTCTAAAAGATATCTAAATTATATGTATGTTTAATCATAGTATATTNGTCTATAGAGATGGCATTAATAGACTGGAACACCGCTATGAGAAATGTATCAGCCTTGGAGGAGATTATGTTGAGAAATAAAAAAAAAAAATTTTTAAAAACCTTGTTTTTCTTGGTCAGGCCGGAAACTTATCAATCCACCCTCGTATATCTCGTGAGCTTTATGCAAAGTTGTATCAAACTTTCATGTTTCCTTTAGAACGCTATTTAAATTTGCAACATGAAATATTGGTTCAATCTCCATAATACACCTTTCAAGGAAAAATTCACCTCCGCATGTTTAACAGAATTTAGTGTCAAATCGGAATTTCCTTACCGTACCTAGCGCGCGGGCGCTTAAAATCTCTAAATCGTTTGTTCCATAATCTCGCGATTAATTTATGACAAAAAGTGGGTCGAAATCTTGAAGTTCAGTATTGATTCGTACTAACAGTAAAACCAAATTGGTAATCAAACTTCTTTTTTAAGAAGTTCTATTAATTAAACTAACGACATACAACAAACTCACGTAACAAAATTTAAACAAGCCCAGATCACAGCGTTTATCAGATGTAACACATCATCATCATCATAAGGTTCTCCGTCTTAAGTTCGACACGCACTTCCACTCCTTGCTATCCTGAGCTAATCTTCGTATTTCCCTAAAACTACAGCATCCCACATCGTCAACTAGTTGCGAACAGTAGTCTTATCTAATTCTACTTCTATTCGTCCTAACTCTTGTTTCTGCCTCTAATGTGTCTCTGCCTCATGCCTGGGGAAGTGTCCTGTCAACCTATCTCGCCAATTTTGTATTAATTTCCATAGAGTCCTCTGTCCTCCTATTCCTTCTAATACCTCTACATCTTTAACCTTCTCTATCCACGGTATCCTCATCATTCGCCGGTAACATCACATTTCGAACGCTTCGAATAACCGTTTCTTTTCCCCCGTGCTCACCGTCTATGTTTCGCACCGGTACTTCTCCTTCCGTCCTGACTTATCTGACTTCCTAGATACCTAAAATCACCCACTTCTTGTAATCTTTCTTCCCTTTTTGTTTTACTTTTATTTATTAAAGTGAAACTTTCATTACATCTCCTCAAACTTTTTCGTCCATCTGTCGCATTCGCATTACAGTCGGTCGCGGAGTAGGGGTAAAACTGAAAGGCGCTTGGCAAGGTCAATATAGCGGCGCTTACGGGTTGTATGAGCCAGCCGTGAAGCATTTATATTCTCACTCATTCGTGCAAGTGCATGACAGTTACATTTATAGACTGTGAAACTCAAAGCGAAGATGAAATTCTTGATAGAATAACTGAAGTTCAAAATGATTCAATGATTTAAATAAATATTGTTCTCAGTTTTTAACATGCGTCTATTATCAGAATGAATGTATTTATTATATATTCCGTACTCTCATACGCAGATTGAAATTAAAATTTATAGATAGATATCTTATCTACTATTGATTTACCATTATCATTCCTACTTTCCAATAATTAAAGTAAGATTAAAAACGCGATTTTAATTTTAATACCCTAACTCGAATAATTTTCCGAAAATTTACAGTTCAATGCCTACCATCCGAAAAGATTCACTTGCATCGTGGTTTCATAAAACGACACAATTGTTTTTCCTTTATGCAATACTGTTTTACCAATACCGCTTCCATTTTATTTAAAGTCATCTCTAACTTCTTCCAACAAGTAACTGTAGGTTTGGTAATGTAATACGTACATATGCAGAAGCATAGGTACATCTACATACTTACAAATCGCAACGACTGCTGAAATATTTAATTTAACCGATTAGTATTAAGCACGTACTAATGCCTACAGCTGGTATCGGGGATACGAACAAAAGAAAACTGGTTTCATTATTCATGAAATTTTCTTTTACTTTCCGATCCTGGATAAATTAGGGTTCATTCAAAGTAAACGAACAAGTTGGAAACGTGACATTGTGTATAAAGAGCCTTTTTAATATTCTAAATCGCTTTTAAAAGAAGATTCCAAGTTTTAAAGCGCAACGTCCAATAATTAGCTTAACTAAAAGAAAGAATATCTTTCTTAAAGTCTAAAATTTGCTAAATTGAACCTCAATTTATCTTCATCACGGGCGCTGGTTTTGACCGTTTCATTAATATTCCGTTAGCTCCACTTTTTAAATACCTTTCGAATAACCGATTCTATTTGCCATGGCGAAAGCTCGCAGCTAACTACCGTTAATGTTTCCACTTAGGAAGTTAATTAGGCGAAACGATGTTTCGGCGAATTAAGGGATGATTTATTTTGAATTACTTATATAATGGACCTATTTCAAGTTAAAAACGGTGATATATATAAATATATGCATGAATAAATTTCCAAGCAAAAATTAATGGGAATCATCCAATATCATAAATCATTATTAAAATAAGGAGTCGGTCCTTTACGACAAGCACAATGTTTTCGTGACAAATCGCAGCGAATGTGAAGAAACTGAAGCGCAAGGTGGCAGCTAGACTCTATAGTTGCATTTAACCTAAATACTTGAATATTTAGGCTTATCATCATAAGGTCTGGTTAGACACACACCTCCACTCTTTCCTATCCTGAGCTAATCTTCGCATTTCCCTAACACTAGAACAACCGTAACATCCTTAACTATGGTTGTTCGGAAAGTCATTTCTTTTTTTCCCAACAGAGGATTTAATTGTATTCTTTTGCACCCAACTTAACATTTAAGCCGTATAATTTTTATATGCTTTGAGAGCTCATATAGCAAGGCTTGTGTGTGAAAAATTCCAATTAATTCTACGCAGTAGTTTTTGGTTGGTGCCCTTTTAAATATGGAGAGCGATAAGCAGCA